CCCATCTCGAAAACAGGCCTGCCTGAGCAGCCCTGCTCTAAAGATGGAATGTTTATCACAAACATACCAGGCATTCTTCTAAATATGTATTCTTCATTTACACACAATTCCCACACTGAACATCAGTTAACTCAGGTACTAGAATTACCTGTTTTGGACATAGAAATATACATATCTGTATGTATATATGTAGGTATAGATCTGCTATCATTTATTCTCACCATATCTCGTTTGTACAGTAAGTACATGCGCAAACACTGTTCGAATAGGGAAACAGAGAAAAGAAGGGAGAGAGAAAGGAAGAAAGAAAGGAGAAAGGTGTTCAAATATTTAATCGTGATATCTGAAAGCCAAAGGAAATATCGTTCATTGTTATTCAGTCGTGTCCATTGCACCGTATGTACAGTATGTTGTGTTAATGTGCTTTATCACTGCGACGGGAATGGAAACCAGATATACAGGGTAATTCTAGAAACTGGGACCAGGTGTAACTCTTTTCTAAGCGATAGTAAGAAGACAAATTTCAATGGTTTCTGCGAAACTAATTTTTCGTTACTTTCGTTACTTTTTCGAATGGAAGTCTGGAGTATCGAGGTCGAAAAATGAATATTTCTCCTATCACAACGCTAACTATAATAAGCAATTCTTCAATCGTCAGTTTTTCGATTTTCTTCTTACAATGTAACACAGAAACACATTTCACCCAGCGAATAAGCGTTTCTTATTTTTGCCTTAAATTCCAAATTCTGTTTATCAAGTTTGTCGAAGCGAGTTGAACTTAATTACAACGCTTTTCTACGATTAAGAATTGACAAGAGCAGAAATGTCTTTATTCGACGATGTTCCATCGCAAATTCGACGTAATTAAACGAATTTTCCGCAAGACAGAGCGCCAGGTTATAACGCGCAAAGTTTAACTAGCTACTTTACAGAAGTTTAATAGAGGAAATGGTTCGGTACTCATAGTCCTTCACCTTGGCCGCCGAGGTTACCGGATATAAATTGTATAAATTAACGTGAGAAAATGGGTAGAAAAAATGTTCAGAATGTAACGATGAAACGTTTCAATACTTGTTACAATAAAATGATTTTATCTCGTGAATTAGTTATTTTTCTTATCACATTATCCTAATCATGTTTTACGTAGAGAAAACTGTACAATCTAGTTCTATTTAAACAAGTATCTAATACAATTACATATTCCATTGTTGCATTTGCAAAAACGAATTTTATCGTAATATAAAATTTACTAAGTAGATACATTAACCCCTTAACGTATGATTTCTTTTCTGACTATGCATCTAAGCGTCAGCCATTTTCTGGTTTAGTACTGTACCAGGTAACAAAAACTAATCTATCACAGATTAATTACATTTAGTAATTCTCAGTGTTGTAAATTCAAACGAAAGTTAGGATTACGACGAATTTTTCTTATGGATACAACTATTTTTCTCACATCTTCACTAGAATTTCCGTCAGGAGTCTGACAGGTTGTCATATGTTAAGGGGTTAATAAGTAAATATCCCGGGGGAAGAGAAGAAAAATTATAGTAACGTAGACTTCGTTGAACTGTTCAATTAGTTATTTTATCATTCTTACTTAATTTTCGCTTTGGAAAGTGCTATATCTTGACCCAGTTTCTAGAACCATCCTGTATACCAGATAGAACACCTACGGGGTATATATGTATGTACGCTAACGCAGCATTGGCACCAACCAGAAAGATGTAGCAATCTTTCTTGCGTGGTGCGTCGATTCTTTTTTTATAACAAAAGGGACTAGATACAGCGACTGCACGCTTACTTATGAGTCACTGTCATCTAGCCGAAAGTCAAAGAAACTGTAGTTCTGCTTCCTTGAGTATCCTTTTAACGCGTCGTTTTCTAAACAGTATTCCGTATCCGTTCTTCCGATGTGTGTGAACAATGCTTGTACTGTGTGAAATACGAAGATAAGAATGGAATCGATTAAAAGTTTATCTGTATGTATAATTCTGCCAACCTTAGGTGAAATTTCCTATATGCTTATTTTTCTTTTTCAAGAAATTTCACGAGTGTCTTCACCTTTTAAGCAAAGTTAGAATATTTTACGTGTTTTGTGGGGCTCTAGAAATAGCCTAATTTAATTGTAAAATTTTAATTTTTTTTTAGATGCTCAAAAAATTGTTAGTTAGGACAATTAGTAGTTTTTAAATGTTTCCGAATTTCTTGGAATACTAACAGTTATTTTAAATTTAATTGAAAATGCTGGATTATTGATGCTTGGTATAATAATTAAATTTCATAGTTGAAATTTAATACTACATTTTAATTTTATTCATTCTAATAACTTTTACAAAAAGTGCTCAATTTTTTTTTTTAAGTTGTTTACCTGCTGCTGTAACAGCTCCAACACCTGTCTCGTCTCTAGTTTGTTCTTCTACTTCAGTAACTGGAAAAGTTCGTTTATTAATTCGACAGGAAAACTTAATATTAATTGAATTTAATGATACTTTTTATTAATTTCAAGACTTACAATAATATTATCAGGATTAGTAGTCAATTTTGAGTGTGATTTTAAGACAATTTATCTATATTTATATTCTCAGTAATTTTTTCAAATTTAAATTTGTATAAAAAAAATTCATCGCGTCAGATAATAACGTCCAAACAATCCCATGAGTTCGTGCCGAAAGCGAAAAATATTTTAATTCAAATCCAAGGAAATTCTATAGTGACGATATAATGATCTTACCAAAAAACAAAAAAAAAATAGGTAAGAAATTGTCGAATAAGAAGACACTTACATTTTGTTTATCAAATTTAAAGGTTCCCTGGAAGTATCGATCCAAATTATAAAATTCGTCACGGACTTACGACATAACCTAATATCATAAATTTCTTTACTAAAAATTATTTCAAACACTCGCCAATTCGAGCTGTCCATTTGCACCAAACTAATAATAGTAGTTCACGTTATATCCGCGCGCCATATTTAACGCGCTTCCGGTTTAACCGTTCCCCTTCTGCGCAATGTCAAATTTAAAACAGCGCGGCGCGGCGGTCATGCTCGCTTGACAGGGAGTCGAATGCACAGCAGCGCGGCGCGCGCGTTTTTACGAAACGCACGGTGAACCGCGATAGAGAGAACGGTCGCTGGTTTCTCGAGGAAAACATCACGTGCGTTCGTTGCGTGAGTACGTAGCATTGACGCGGCGCAATCACAATACTCCTGTGAGCGCATGTCGCCAGTCATAACTCGTTCGTTTCTACCGGTCATTGAATAATCTAGCGATCACGCGTCGATCAATTGACAGCACATAATAAACGCCAGGGGTCGCTAATTACGATCGCATGATCAGCGAACGGTGAACGACGGTAATTAGTTACACAGATCCCTTGAAACTATTTTTTTTTTCTTTCTTTTCTTGAGAGACGTGATACGATTAGTTCGAGAAGTGTCACATGAATAATGTACGGTTATTTTCTCGATATACGTGGCAAATTTATCGAACCGTTTCGAAATTGATATGGATGAAAAGATATACCAGCGAACGTGTACTTGCACGATCGAGTGTCGTTTATTAGAGAAAGCAAGTTAATTGATACGTTGGGTAGTGGCATTTCTTCATTTGACGTATTTTAATGAAAAGGAACACTTGTTTGTTAATACTAGAACGATCAGGGTGAAACTAGCTATTAGAGACTTTTTAAAAGTGAAGTTTTACACTTCCGTGTATAAGTATCGGGATACTTATCGAATGTGAAGAAAATTTGAACAGTCGTTACAAAATTAAGATTTTAAACGAAATGATTCAGTCTTTCATTTAAGGTGCCGTGATAAAAATAATTTTTAACGATTTCGTCCATCTTAACCCTAGAGCGGTCTTCGGGTCTTTTTTGACCCACCGCCTCTTTATATTTTTAGTCATTTTTGCTGTTATCAAGTTTACGTTCCTTAACATTGTTTTAAACGCTTATTGTCCTAGGTTCATACGTCGCGTTGGAAACAAAAATTATTACACGTAAGGTCTTGGGTTCTTTTTGACCCAAAAGTCTTAAGTGTAAAGTCAAAACGAAGACCGCTCTAGGGTTAAATTCGATATTAACCTGAAGCTTAACATATCTTAAGTAAATAAACAAAAAATTAGGGAAGTACTTTTTGGCACTTTTTTTTAAAAAGTCACTTGATAAATGTTTGCAGAAACAATTAGGATAATTTCTTACTATTGCATGAAAATCACTCACCTATTATAAAAATATTACAGTATTGAATTTAACTTATGAAAATAAAATTACATGCTCCTTAAATTGAATTTGCAATAAACTTCTGGTCTCAATTTTCAAAACGGATTAGTATCTACGTTCAGTCGAAATTCGGGTGATATTAAAACCTACAATTCTAGAAATTCGAATTTATCGATTATACACTTCTCATTTTTTATTTTTGTCCATAACCCTTAGAGTGTTTAATCAGTACATCCTACGGGTAACTCGAAATTCTTAAAATTCCCTTTGTAAGAGATTCAAATAGGATGTAATGTCGTAAAGGTCACGAAATTAACGCATTCATAGTTCGCCGAAATTATTAACCCTTCCGTTACTATAGGCGTTGGAACCTTTTGATGCACTTGCACCTTAATTTAATTCTTAATTTCATCCTTCACGCACTTGCATCTCAATGTAACAAACCGAATTTTAAAACGGCACGACCAAGATAACAAATTTCGCAGCCGTGGTTAAAAATGCGAAAGGGTTAAAAATTAGATAAGGAAAAATAAAAACATATCCACGTTATCCGCAAGTATCTTAAATCGTTTTAACATTTTAGCGAGCATGTTGCGGGGGTTGATCTACGGTGCGCCTTCTTGATTCCGATTTATGTACGGTACTGGCGACAATACGTTCGTTTATCAATTTCTATTCGCGCGATAATTATCTAACGAATAATAAACCGATAAGTGTCGTAGGCCGGTTAAGGTGCAACGAGTGGGTAATGGAAAAAACTGCGCGTTTTACAGAAGACTAAAGGCTGATCTGCAATTCCTCCGAAGGAGGGGACTTCTGAAGGCGTCGGGTGAACTATCGTACCAAGGACGTAAATGCACCAGATGCGGTGCACCGTTTGGTAAATTTTACAACACCGGTGCTTCGTGTACACGCTGCAGGCACAGAGTTTGCAGACAGTGCCGTATCGAGGTCAGGAGCCCTACCGATAACAAAGACGTCGAATGGATCTGTAACGTTTGCTATAAGATCGCGTGAGTAATTCTCCATTGTTACCGTTTCCTTCTTCTACAGCCTGTCTCGTTCGCGGCTCTCTTCAGATCTTCCGGCACCTTCACCACTGTCGGCATTTCTTTTCTTTTCTTTTTAATTTTTTACAAAGATTAGCAATCTTTTTCATTGGAGGTGAAATTATTTGAACGTTTGACGCGTGGAATATTTGAACAATGTCGACGAAACTAATTTTGTGTTTAGTAGTAGGATTAACGTGGTGTTAGTATGATCTTGTGATCGGTATTTTTGCAAAATTGTTTTGGTACAGCTTTCTGTGTTATTTCGGATATAGAGAAGGTTTGAACGCGTGGAAAATTTTAATAATATTTATTGAATTAACCAGTTAACTGCGTTCGACGTGTATACACGTCAATCGATAACTTTATTTCGGTGCGGTTGACGTGTATACTCGTCGTGTAAAATAAAAAATTAAATCAATAAGAAGTAATAAAAATGTCATTTGGTGGTATGCTTCCTTTATATTACCAATGAAACTGCTGTGTATTTTATAAAGAAAAGTTTGATTATTCTCTTTGTATATCGGATATTCCCCGTTCAAAAATATTACTTTTTACAAACTGAGTTGATTATTTTCCCCAATGCATCTGGTATTCTCCGAATACCACGCTGAAATCAACTGAATTTCTTAAAATTATTTCTTTTCTTTAATTTTTCTTGTTTATGAATTTTATTATTTTTTGACAATATCTAAATTTTTAATAACAACAACCTTTTCAACAATGAATTGTTAATTTCTTATTGAATAAAAATGTAATCCTTCCTCGTTTTGCTTTACTTTTTTTCTTCGTGAAATTTATAATAGGAGCATTAGCCCTGCATTGCTTGATTGTAATTCCGCATCCCGTGAGGGATTTTTAAAACTAAATTCCACAGTTAACTGGTTAGGTTCGCGTTTAGTAGTATTAGTATAATTCTGTGATCGGTATTTTGCAAAATTGTTGTAATTGTTTAGTATAGTATTCTGTGCGATATGCGTTAAGGAAACGTATCTTCTTTTTCTTCTTGAAAATTGTTTCTTCGTGCTTCCTTAATGAGTGCGTTCAAATAATTAAAAGAATTGCTAAAAAGTAGTGTTTAAATTTAAATTATTAAAATTGTTATAATTTCAAGAAATTATTAAAATTTTGAAATTTTATTATTTTAGGGAACTGCATATCGTCACCGGGAAGTGGACCTACGAGAATTCGGTGTCCAAAGGATCTATAAATCAGAAGGCACCGTCCCCTGTGGAAATTTTGAAGCATAGTATTAGACGAGCTTGGACTATTAACGGTATGTTTATGACATATTCAATTGTACTGCTTGATGTTACTTAACGTTATTAGTAAAATAATACACGATAAAATTAACTGGCAAAATGTTAAATAGAAAATTTTCATTAATTAAGGCTTATTTTCTTAATTTCCCAATGAATGCTCGAACCTATCCTTTCAATACAGTATACTCGTAGAATGTTACAAAATGTTAATTATGAAACGTTAGCAACGTAATATGTGAACTTCCAACGATAAATATTTTAGTCAGATTAATGCAACGCTTTATCAAGTTATCATCAGAAGAATATTTAAATTTAATTAGGAGATAAGACCGAGGGAAAATTGAATGTAAGATCTTTCGATATGAATCTTTCTTTGTTTCATAGATCGATTTTTTATGCGTATAGAAATTTAATTTATTTATATAGAATTTCAACTACTGTATCGTAAATGTGTACATTTAAAACACAAGTTTTAACAGTTTATCACGAATAATATTTGTTCAATAAAAATACTGACAACCCTTTGCAATCAGAGGAAAGAATCGATCAACTGTACAAATGTTCATAATTTTCCAATACTCCTTAAAAAAATGTATGAATAAAATAAATGAAATATTTATAGAAAAATGTTTT